AACTGATGTACGTACGTATGAAGTTCTACATTGTTACTGACTGACTGACTGAATTTTCCCAAGGTCACTTTAGTATCGCTCAAAAGTCATCTATAAATTATAGTCTCACTGAAGTCTTTCTCCAGGCAACATACTTACACACCATCATTACTAAAATCTGTCAAAGTTGTTTCCATTAGTAACTTCCTCTACTCTTCTATTCATACTGATCTGATTTTGATATCAATGATTGAAATCGACCACTTGTATGTGTGTGTGTGTGTTTATTGTTAATTCACGATTTGCTTTTGTCATTATATTAATGGGTTAATAAATGGTTCAGCTTTTTTTCTAATAACATTACAAATCGCTATTGTTCAATATTAAAGGTTTAATACATTATAGATATCACACCATACAACATTTTAACAGTTTCTTATGGACTTTCATAGGCGTTACTATATATATAACAGTGAATTATCTTCTGTACTTCGTCTGTATACATGCTAATACACTTACATCTTATTCTATCTAATACATATAGTTCAAGAGCGTAAATCTATGTATGAATTGGATGGTTCATAGTTTGATAAAATAATATTTAAATTGATATTATGAATGGATGAATGTTAGACCGCCATTGAAAACTTGAAAGCACTGGGCCGTTTCGTCCTAGTATGGGACTTCTTATGTGTTCACTAGCGACTGGCTTCAAGATGGATTTCCTGGAGTTCCAGTGAGAAAATGTGGCTAGTGGAGTTCAACTGTGTCTGTTGTAGAGGCATTTACTCACTGAGGGCAATAGTGGATGGACAATATCGTGTATTGGTTGAAGTTAGACATTAGCACTGTTGGATGCCGGCTGAGTGGTCTCGAGGTTAAGTGTTCACGCGCGGGACCCTGGGTGCGCACCGCTGAGGAGTCCTACACTAGGATGAAACGTCCATCCAGCATTTCTAGGTTTTCAATAGTGGTTTGATATTCATTCATGATATCAATTTCAACTCAAAGATCTCCACAACCCTATACTGATAAAAATAATATTTATTTGTTTATTTAAACACACAAATATTGGTACAAGAAGTCACCAAATATACATGCTCCATACTTCGTCATTCGATTTGTGTGAGGGCTGGGATACTGCCCGAGTGCCCAAACCTGAAGTGGCCCTTTTGATCTGACTCCATTTAGTGTGTACGTATGTTTGCTATCGCTGATTCTCGTTTATCATCGTCGACTTAAATCACGTTAGTCCATAACGGAATTAAATAAGTCAATTAACGAGAATGGCATTTGAATACATATATTTTGTATGTAAAGTGAATGCGATAGAACAAAACGAAATGACGCGCTGGGAAGATGGCTGGGAAGCCAACTCCAATTCAAGCCGAACATTACTCAATATTTATAGTCAGACAAATTAAAGGTACAGACATGTGATTAATGAAATAAGAAGTGCACACATATATACGCTCATATAAAAACAGTCTAGTTGATAAGCGAATAAATGACAAGGTCAAAATATGGCTCAAGTAAAATGAATAAAATAGGATGTCCGGAAGTTAGAATAAGGTACATGGGTTTGCCATAATAACTGACACTACAAACCGAAGCAGGTGGTTTTTTTTAGAGTGCCACTCCCCGAGCCTTTGACCTACATGTTTAACTCACAAGGCATCGGAGCAACATTAGAAGATTCAGTTCCATGGTAGCCAGTGACCAACCATCGGGTTCATATGCCATTTGTTCTGTCAGGATCCTGGAGCCCTTGTCCACCAACCCGATTAAATTGCCAGAAATTCGCTTTTCATCCTCTCAATTTCGTAAACGACACTGCCGTATCGAGAAGGTAGTAAGTAGGACTTTCCTGTCAGTGGCTGTATACGCGTGGCCATGTGAAAGCATTTCGACGGGGAGAACGGATTCTTCTCATTCTTGACCATTTCAAGCTTACCACTTACAACCATATTTATAATGACATCAAAAAATTCACTACTTATCCTATTAATTGTGATATATTGTGAGTCTATTAGAAATCGGACAAATGAGAAATACACTATTGATAGCTTAGTTTTCTAACAGACAGACATGGATTTATGAATGAGTACACATGCACTCCCGTTCAGTTAGTCAATGAAAGCTCCTTTCTCATTTTTTAACCTCTTATATGAAAAGCTTGCGTATCATTAATACTCTTTACAGCACAACATAATCTCAATAACATCCGACAATTCCCACAACCACACTAATAAAGTATTTAGAATAGATAAATTATGTCTAATAATGTAATCTAGGATACGTGTTTCGTCTTGCTGTGGTACTCGTCAACTGAATGTGTGTACTATATCCTAGAATTGTTGATATTTACGTTGAGTTTCGAACCCAGTACTCCTTTTAATTTAAAAAAGATTAATCACTAATTCCAATCCTTCATATCAACAATGAGATAACTCACACGTTTACCAATAATAGTAGACATAATAATAATAATAATGTAATCGATTTCCAATCAATTCATGTTGTCATTCCCAGTGTCTCCAAATAACTGATTTTGTCATATATATATGTGTGTGTGTGAAGGGGAGAGAGGACAATAAAAGAGGGAGAGAGTAAACCAATGTGCATACTATTTTTATCATAGTGTTGTCAGTTAATTAGGACAATTTTACTGTGTATCTATCTACGAAATTGATCATTAATTACCTTGATTATGTTTTCACTTACAAACTATGTTATTAATACTGATGTCATGATTGTCACAGGAATGTGTATGTATGCAAATCAATACTTACTTCGTTATTATTATTATTAACAGCAAAAATAAGCTTTTGAACATCATGGTTCTCTCTCGGAGTATGTCTCTATATGTATGCTTATATGTACCTAGTGTGTATGTCATGTAAAATCCATTTGCATAACTGTTAGTAAATTTCTTGTCTATCTTAAACATTGTTGAGTAAGAAAAACATGAATTTTTTTGTAAAAAACAAAATAATAAAATAGTTGGAAGGAATCCATCTAAGTATTAGGTAATTAATTCATATCTAGTCTAAAAATTCACAGCAACATCCCCTGTCTACTTGTTGTTGGGTAGACTCTGCATGAAAGTACTATTGAGCCTCATTGATAGTTGATAGGTTTGTCTGGATATTAAAGTATTTTAAGAGATAAGTTTAATTTGTAAGTGATATTCGTGAAACCTCGATATCTTTGATTCGATCCCAAGCGTAGTCGTAGGTTTGCATTTTTCAAGAGTCTCATTATACTATGACAATTAAAAAGTTGTACGATGGTCCTTAATCTTTATTGGTACACCAGCTATAATCGATCCGCGATCAGTATCTCTCACAACTCAATGGAATAGTTTACTTACTATCCATATCAATGATAGTTATTGCCATCACCAAAATTTGTACAATATCACGCTGATAAGATCCAAATTATCATCATTTGTATGGTCTAGAATATGATAATTAGACAGACAGTATGAGAAATTATTTATCATCTGCATTGATCAACTAGTTTATTTGCCTAGATCAATATGGATTATCTATGGATATACCTGGAACTGAGCTTAGCAATTAAATATTCCTACAGTTACTTACCTTGTGTTTTAAGCAAGGAAATTAGTTGATAAATATTTAAGTAATTATAAAATAGAGTGTACATTAATCGTTCATCTATTGTAATAACTTTTGATAACCCATCTCTAATGTGTAAAGGATAGTCTCCACGATATTTTTGTTTCACAAGCATGATCATTGAAAATGTGAATTGAACACTACAATTCGAGAATACACATATTCTTATCAGTAAACAAGGTTTTAAAGAGTATAATATTTTAGCATGAAACTGAACCAACGCATTGATAAGGAAAGATAAGAGAGGTTCGTTACACACAAACTTAATATCACTCGTTACAATCCATATAGTGTAGAAATTGTTGAATATATACATATCTAACTACTTGGTATTTATAAGTAGTATGGGTTAGACAATAAAGGTATAAGTAATATAAATGTAGCTTATGGGTGAAATTTTGTTATTGGCAATTGTAAAATGCCTGATTACCCTCGAATAGTATTATTGTTACTCATTTTTCTGAAGTAATTGTAGAAAATTTTAGAGTTTAGCTTTGAATTATTCGAGATATAGATGATATCCATTTTAATACTTCAACAGGCATGTATTTACATGCTTCCTGTCAGACCAGTGTCTACATGTTTAAATTACTACTTGGAACAATATTGGATAGAAATTTACTCGATGAATTTACAGGCATCTTTACACTAATTTAACAACCTCTAAGGGAAGACTAGTTATTTTCCATACAAAGGGTTACACATACGTTGTGATCGTAGAATAAAACCGTAACTCATACTGTAAACAGAAGTCATGTTCTTTAATGTCACATAAAATTAGATCTAGACATCAAGGGGTTAATTTTCCCAGATCATGATAATGCGGAGAACATTTTGATTACTCCATTTGACTGTATTGGGGATGGGATAATCGGATCTCTCCAGTTGAATACGATAAAATCTCCCTGATATCTCATCACTCATATTCTCTTTTGATCAATAAATACATGTTAACACGAATACTCCCTAGATAAAATATTCATGGGACAGTACAAGTGTCTGTAACATTCAGGAAATACCAGTAACTAAATATTCTATTCAAAACGCGTAAAATTTCAGGAAGTCACCCACAAGATTCGATACTGATAAAGTAAACATTACTACAAGTAAATAACGAGTTATAACATTGAAATAAAAGTACTAATACACAGGATAGTTAATTTATTGTGACAACGTAATACTACTACACGTTCCTCTACAATATCCAAGTCACAAAGTAGTTGGAGATATAATATAGGCTACTAAATAATTATAAGTAGCACAAAGTAGATGGGGGAAACATGTAAATATCTTCGGAAGATGAAAACAAAAATTAACAATATCACTTAATCTTAAGATTCATCTAATGTATTGTATATTGAATTTCTTGTATAATTTTAGGTTAGTGGTGGTCAAACTACACCAGCTGTACAACCTCCAGAAGTAGCTAAAGGTGTACAATCCATATTTGATGGTACTAAGTTAGATGTGTACAGTGCTGGTGTAACACTTTATTTCATGCTTACTGGTCATGTACCATTTTCATGTCAAAATGTACTACAAATATTTGAAGCAATTGTTAAAGGAGATTATACAATACCAGGATATGTATCAACCAATGCATCAGATTTGATTCGGAAAATGATGCAGAAAGATCCTAAAGCAAGTTTGTTTGTTTGTTTGTTTATTTTCAAATCTCCATATCAGTGTTTATTTCTTGTTTGAATTATGGTTTGTTGTATACATTTATTTGCTATACACTTCTATTGTCTAGTATTCCTTGACTAAGATACTTCATTCAACTCTATTCATATCAGAACATCAATTTAGAACTAATACAATGTATTATATGTGAAAATTATATTTGAAATAATCTCAGCGATTGAAATTTAAATAATTCCAATGTTTCGTCCAAACATATAATGACTTCTCTATACTCGGCGCTCAATTTCTATCAAACTATTTGTTCTAATCTTGACGAATATTTGTATAATAACATGTATGTTTCAATAATTGGAACAACAAAGATTCAGTAGCAAAAATATTAGAGTGTATACAGATATTTAAATAAGAATCTTCTAGTATCTTTCGTATACTACTGATTCCAAGCATTTTAATAACTAAATATTCCAAGTTTTCACTTCGTCAATGATAACACACAAGTTACCACTCACTACGAAAGTATTGCCCAAAACAGAGTTCAACAGTGAATCCTGGTAGATGACCTATGCTTTTCCATGAAGGGCAATAAGCTTAAGTAAATACTCCTCACCGCACTTCAAATTTCGCCTAAAATAAATGAGGCATTACCTTCTAACTGGTTAACTCAATGGTATCATTATACTATACTTTTGCTGAATTAGAATCTATGGTTAAGAGTTAGAGTTAAGATCAATAGTTAGGCTTATGATTACGAGTCTTAGGTTAGGAATAAAATGGAAAAAACTCACTTTTAACCGTGTAGATAAATATTTGTACAGTTGGTTCTTTATTTCTATATATCAAGAATTATTTAGTTATTTTCATAAATTCACAAATAGTGATCACTATTATCTTTAATCTTCCTGTGTTTGTCGTAGTAACTAAACATTGATGAGTTTTATTCAGTTCTTACATTAGTCTTAATAATAGTAATCGTTCCTCCCTAAAATCCAAAACCCATTATCTTAAATTTGATTGATTTGTCAATAAAGTATACCTTTACTAAGTATTTTTTTTGTTATGTTTTAAATTTGTCAATCAGAATTTCGATTATCATTTATCTACTCTCGCCTATTCTATTCCATCTACAGTCTCTAGTGCACTCACTATGTCTTGACCAATAACATGATCCAATAGACACGAATAACCTTTAGCCGACGCTAAAGTACGCTTCACTCCGTATTGGCCTATTTATTCCCAGTCTTGAGTTTGAAAGTTGAAGTCAAAAAGTGAATTTCTCGGTAGACGACCAAGTCTTGGAAAGCTTGATGATGAGAGCGTTATCTTTAAAAGGATGTCTTTGATAAAGCTGAATAAAGACGGAAAAAATGAGCAACCCTGATGAACACCACTTCAGATTGACAATTTTTCATAGGCTCTTTTTCGACCAGTCGTGTTCAGGTTACGAGCTTGTCTCCAATGTCGAAGGAATACAAAAACAAATTAAACTGTGAATCAAACGTTTTTAGATTTTTGAAAAGACCAAAAAAATTTTCTCGAGCATTGAAATCCACTATCTTTATTTCAGACCAAATTCAGGCCTAATCACTTATATGTTTAATGTCGTAGAGCAATCATAGTTTAATTTTACAAATTATTAGTATAAGGTTATGGCAATTGTTGGATGTCATTGAATTCACAAACGGATCTAAGGTAGACGACCATTGAGAACCGGGAAGGCCGTTTCGTCGCGGCATGGGACTTCACGTCGGTGTCCATCCACGATCCCGCATGTGGGACCCTAACCCAGGACCTTCTGTCTTGCGCGCAAGCCTAACCGTCAGACACCGGGTCATTGGTATTGAAGTCGCCACATTAACTGTATTAGTACAGTAATAGGCGTGTAAACGGTACCATGTTAATGGAAAGCTGGACATAAGATGCAAAATGTAAATTTGTAAACGACATCCAACAGCTCCAACCGTCGATTAAGAGCATACTACCGTGTTACGATCAAGAATTTACCATCTACCAACAACACGACTAAGACCAGTAGGAGTTGGTGACTCTTTGGTACCCCCACTCATAACTTTTTTGCAGCCTACATTAAGCACATACACAATTGTTTGACTTGGCTCATTACTAGAAGTTAAAAAGTTAAGCGATCGCGCACGAGATAGATGCTCCTGAGTCCGAGTCACGCGTGCGGGGTCATGAATGCACGCTGCTGAGGAGTCCCGCGCTAAGACGAAACGGCCCTCCAATTCGTCCGGGTTTCCCATCATGGCCTAGCTTAGATCGACTTGATTTCAACTATTAGAATTAATTATTGTTCATATAACCGATTAATAAAATAAGAAAGTTCTTGTACGCTCCTGTAAGCCATCATATTACCATATTGTTCCCCAACTATCTAACTTCAATAGTATGAGTTAAATTATAAAATAATGGTTTCATTATTAAACCACTCGATTTGTAATCAGTAGATGATTTGTGTTTAAGTTTTGTAGTCATTTTCTGGTTGATCACACTCCATAGGAGAACTTTTTTCGAAGTACTTGATAATGAATTTGAATTAGTAGTAGGGATTTTGGATACCTGAAAACGTAACCACAATACTCAGAAGTCAGCAGCTTGAGAATGATCGCAGACGAAATTTTCGTAAAAAATAGTTTTAAATGAGTCAGTCTTATACCTAGAAAGGCCTTACTATCGGCGATAGATAATTTGCAAGCCAAGGTGAAGTGTTTCGTTTTTGAGGGTTGACCATTTCTAACTCCGTCATTCGTTTGTGAGAAGACAGTGTTGTTCTAGATGCTGATTGTCTGAACCACACATACTGCCATCATACCTCAATACAGTCAGTTGCACGACCTCACTATCAGACCTTAATTTATCAACCCTAATTTTATCACTCTCCAACCAACCTGTCTGATTTAGTATAACCTAAAAGGACAAGTGTTTCAGTCAATATGAAACTTGATTGAGCAATCATAACAGCCAGAAAACTCTAACAACACGTTAGAATAGCTTGTTGTGATCAAGCAAGTTCAAACCCCATACACAACTATTTTGGTGGTTAGAGAATTCGTTGAATATCACCAATCTTTAAGTACAGATTAAGTGTTTGTAGCTCAAAATAAAGTAAATAGACCTTATATTTGAGAAATCAGTGATATCAATACTAATAAATGAGATCAGAGAAATGCCTGATGATTGGTTGATTCATTGAAAATTAAGCATTTCCTTACAAATCAATAATATAATGATTTTTGTCCCCAAATGCCCTGGTATGGCCGGGAGTGAAGTGGGCCCGCCCTCCCTCTCGAAATGCTCTCACACGGCCACGCGCATACAGCCTCTGCCAGGGAAGTCCTACTCACTGCCTTCTCGTGGCCGGGGTGTTGTTTACGAAATCGAGAGGACGAAAAGCGAATGTCTGGCGCTTTAACCAGGGAGTTGGAAAACTCTCATTCCAAACCAATGGTGCACATAGGCTCCAGTATCCTGCGGGAAAAAATGGCGTATGAACCTATTGTTAATCACCGGCTACCATGGGAATGCATCTCCTCACAATGCTCCACTGCCTTGTGGATCAGACCTTTAGGTCAAAGGCTGGGGGTGTGGCCCCCTAAGTAAACCACCTGCTTCGGTCTGGGCAACCGTGCAGTATCACAGTCCCACACACACACAAACATGGTATGGCGCATATATATTTGGTGCCCTCTTGTACCAATATTTATGTGTTGAGATAAATAAATAAATAAATTTTTAACAATTTATTTGTTTTTCTGTTAATAGAAACGTTTAACTTTATTGCAAATTCGTCAACAAACTTGGTATATACAAGATCCACCAACACCAATGTCTGTGGAGAAAATTAAAATGAAATTACGCAATGAATTATCACATAATCAACAATTGTCAAATAATGAATCGCCAACAAATACATTAATTCATTATCATAAACGACAACATCAACAACAACAACAACGTGGTATAATCTGTTGGCTTGATCCATTAATTTATCTACGTCGATGTCATTCTGAATATCCTCTACCACATATTGATGATACTGGAGCTAGAATATTTGATATAGATGAAATTTTCAATAATTCACCAAATCAAACATTTACTAGTAGTAATGATAATGATATACAAACATCTTTATCAAATATGATTATCAGTGATAAGGATGAACACTTTTTTAATAATCATGATGGTATTGCACCGATCTCAGTGATTGATCGTTTAAAGGTAGGTGTTGAATAAAAAATAGGGGAATTTCTTTCATTTCTAATAATAATAATAATATTCAATTTACCTAGTACCCATTCCTAACCCTACCGAGTAAATAATATCAGGGTGTGGGTTAGGATACTATGCAAAGATGCCGAATCGATTGATGACGTAGTAAATCTCCATCAACTGAGTTGATTGGGACATGTGCAACATAATGCCCAACCACCGCAATATTGCCTCTTGTAGGAGCAGGTTGGGAAAGGATTATGGCCAGCCAAACTAAGACCTAGCAACATATAAAGACACTGACTGTTAGACTGATTTAAGTAGTTATGTATAGGCTACTTAATTGGGATCTACGTGACTATCGTAAATAATGACTGGGGACTTTACGCGACATTACTCAATATCGTTCTCAATGGCTCAGGTGTATTCACCCTTTGTTCTTTCTTAAACTCTAACTTTTTCGTTTCGCTAATACTGTTACTACCTTTACTACCCTGGGATATCCTCTGATAATTTCGTCTCGCTGTGCTAATGTACTATGAGAAATTGAACTGATGCACAAATATGCCACAACCTTCTACGTTTCATTTGACTAACTGATCCAATCAGTCACATGAATAAGAATATGTTACTTACTTCCAATTTAGCACTTATCAACAATGATCATTTTTAGTCACTAACTAAGTTCACTGTCTGTAAGAAATATTTTGTGGTTTTAGTTAAAAGACGATAATGTCCTTACTATTCAGATTGTGAATGCTTGAATAAACTGACAGAGTTGGTATACACATGTTACTAATGGTGTAGAATTAAGCCGAATAACTATAGGTATCTCACTAACCATAATATATTAATCAGTTATTATCTGGTGTTCCATTGGTTCGTCTGTCTTAATTGTAGTCTCTCTGTATGTATATTTCTATTTCCGTTCAGTTTCTTAAATGGGTAACAATTGTTTTACTCTCAACTGGGTCAAATTGAACTTGATCCAATGTACTGTTATGGTTATTTATTACTGGTGAGCCTTTATTAAGAATAAAACGTCTGTTCAGTGATTTTCAGCATAGTTGAATACCGATGGTCACAGTTACTCACTAGAACTTCAGAAATTACCTGTCGACATTACTTACCAGTTAGCAAGTGATTACTATTAGTATTTAGGGATTTATTGAAATTGTTGAATTTCGTAGTTTGCATTACGAACTGATCTTGGTTAAGTAAGGATGAAAAGCAGGGAGCATTGCGGAACTGTTTACTCTCTAGTATGGGACTCTCCTCCTGGAAGCACATGTTTACGACTCTGTCTGGAATCGAATCGAGGAGCTTCAGGTCTTATGACAAGCCCTTAACGAAATAGCTTCCTGGTTTTCAATGACTGTCTAACGAAAGTCAATCCGTGATGTAAACTGTATAACTCTATCACTGTTTATATCATTATTATTTTCCCTCTTACTCATCTCATGTCGCTGTATTGATAATGGTATCTCTACTTTAATCGATACACCTTTTTTGACATTCAATGCTATTTCTCTCCTTCTTCTTAGTTTGAATTTCTACTTAACTAGAGATGATCAGCTATATTGTTTCTGAGTTTCTGAAACTTGGATACAAAATCCAAGTGTAGTCATTAACTTGACACTACCCAGTCAATATAGAGGACTGGCGCAATCTACTTTCCATGTATCTGGACCTTTGGTTGCCAATTCGCGTGGCCTAGTTGGTGTGGGCATCGCATCAAGTTCAAAGGTATCACAGGCTATCCTGATCCTGGATTCCGGTAGATAGATGGTCGCCTTTGCGGTATATGAACATAAACAGTATACAAATAGTGGATAACGTTCACATTGTATATTATCGGCAAAGATCGCTTTATAATCTGTCTTTAGATCCGTTGACGACCATATTAAAGAAATCAAACTTAAATCACTTTTGTATATGTTTAATAACGAATGACCAAGCATCCATTTTGGTCCCAAACGTTTTCTGTTTGACACTATTACTCAAGTACCCGTATAAAGGAATCATAGGCTTGCTCGGAACATTGTCTGATGTGCTTATATTAGACAGAATTGAACACTTTCCACTCAGAATAGTCAGTAACACAATATCATCATTTATACATTTTATTCATCTTACTATACTGCTTTTTTCCCTACCATATTTTGTATTTAGGTATTTCATGATTTGGATGACTATGAAGAGTATAGTAGACCAGAAGATATGTCTAGTTTTTACTATTCACCTGAAGCATGTTTACAATATTCCAATGTTGAAAAACAGCTGGCCAACTTAGGTAATTACACAGTATTCAGATCAAAATTCTTGTTTCTTTTTTATACATGCGTTTAAACGACTACTTACTACTTTGTAAGTAGTATGTTTTTAAAACGACGTAAAATCTCAAGCTTTTATTTCGCCTTTTTTAAATCGGTCATTATCATCGACTGTGTAAAATAGTATAATCTATTCTTTGCACGCCGAATTTCCTGCGATGACCCACTGGAACGTCAAGGTCACCTACTCTTTCTATTTTGTCTGTTTATGATGGAGAATATTCGTTGTTCAGGGTAAATATTTCGGTGGTGTGTTGTGTTCTCTAGGCTGTATGGTCTAGTCTTAAAGTTTTCATTGTCTTTCTAGACAATAACAACATTATCAGCGCATATTTCAAAGAGTGACAAGATACTAGGATTCTTTCACATCTGTGACTCGCAGCCTGTTTTGTCTATAATTATGTAGTCGTTATTTTTTTCTGTTTGTTTTAACTGTTTCCATCCGTAAACCTATATCCGAGCTTTCAATTATTTACCGTTTTTCTTTTTAGATGATAAGCTTGGTCAATTCCTTTATGTCAATTGATCGATGCTTGATTAGAATGTCAGGATTATAAAAATTGTATGACCTTCTTTGTGTTTCCTCTGTTTAATAATATTTCAACATTTTCTCAGTTGAACTCATCTCCATAGTTGCCTACATATATTTATATAAGTGAAGATATATCATTTTGTTTAACAATATATTGCCTCTCTCAGTTGATACATTTTATTGTGTAAATGTTTGTTATTGTGTCCCTTTACCTGAATACTGTTGATTGTAAAGATTTTTTAAGTGTTATGATATACGGTTTTTGAGATCTGATACTGATACATAATATGCTACGCATTGACTCCCCCCTTAGGCTGTCTACTTGAGCGAGAAGGTAAGAGTGGGAGAGAAAATCTATTGGTTTACCAAATAATATGCATAGATACTCATTTATATAAATATACGTTTCTACCTCAGAAAATCGTTCCATTTTTGACCAATGATATAAAGTTATCTTTCAAGTCATTTTACGATTGTCATCAAGTGACCTTGAGATGGTGGAGAAGATTTGTAGCTCAGGTGGATGATTTTGGTGAAAGCTCCATGACCAAACCATCCAGCTCAGAGAACAAAACTCCACCAAAAGTGACCTTCTCGTTTGGCTACTTCTTATGGCTCATTAAATTATTAGTAGGCTACACTTATTTCTGTCGAATTTAATAATCTGTTTACAATCTTGGAGATGCTCTTCATGTGTAGAGGTGATCTTAACACGTGGCACACCATCTATCAGATAATGGACACTGCACGTCACAACACTTAGGTCTAAGTGTGATTGCTTAACCTCTGGTGAACAAGTCTAAAGTCAATCGATTCGCAACATTGTCCAAACGTCTTCCTTGTGAGCAAAACCAAAGGTCATGCGTTTGATCCCAAGTGGTAGTGTCGTGGATGAGCATTGTTGAGGTTAAACTACTGTCCAATGAAAAACCATGAGATAGGTTGACGAATATTCACTCTAATATGATTTCTTCTACTCACGGGCATTAATAATCGCCTTATTCAATGCCAAATTTTTTATTATAGTAAAGGATTCTAAGCACAAACTATGTCATGTTAGAATAAATTTTCTGTTCAATATCCTATTTAACTTATTATTAGTGACCTTTAGGTCACTTCTGATTACCATCAACCTTTTGCTCCTTCTGGTTGGCTCTCCATATCACTAAGGTCTTGTCTTTGATACCCAGCGATGGAGTCATGGATGTGCACTGCTGCTGAGGCGGAGTTCAATACTAAGACAAAAGATCTATCTAGTAGTTCCTTTTTTTTAAATAATTTAACATTCGAGGCCATTGTTGTAAACTTTTTTCAACTGTACACGAGTAAACATGGATAAACAAATCTAACTCCTGATGATATATCGATGCGGGAAATTTAGTTCGAAATTCAATTGTAGCTTAATTTAGTTTTTCATACTTTAACACTCAACTACTTATTATTTTACTCATTGATCTCATGAAGTGTGTTTTGTTGTGACAGATATGAAATCTAGAAACCTTTGAAATATTCTCTCAGAAGTGGATATTTTCTTATTCTAAATTCTAAGCTTTACTCTAATAAACAAATTTTACTGTTACATGGAAGCAAACTGACATAATTCTAACTGTAATCTATATCGATTAAATCCAAATATTTTTTTAACAGTAGAATCTATGACATGCATTTGATCGTCATCTCTGGGTATATCTCTGGATCTCCCCATATGGTTAATATTCACATTATAAGACTTAAATCCAAGATCTTTTACTTCAAACGTTTAACATGTTATCCACCACCTGGCTAATAAGTCCAGGTAGTCACTGACTTGTTCAATGTGTATATGAATTCTGTTTGTTAAACTTTGTATTTTCTGATTGTTTAAACTGATCAACTAATAAGTCTTAACATGAATGCCGCGAAAGTGCAAAACTTTAAAAACAGAAGGAATTGGTGTCGTATTTATCTTCCCTTTTTTAACCAACCGAATTTGAACGAAGAAAATACTAATACCATTGATTTTGAATGCTCAAATAGTTAATGAATTATCAGTATGAAGTTGTGGAGATTGTTAAATTCTTGATTGAGATCATGAATCAATCGATGTTAGACCACCATTAAAAACCTGGAAGCACTAGACGGTCGTTTCGTCCGACTGAAGGTCCTGGGTTTCAATCCTGCGTACGGTATCGTGGATACGCACTGCTGAGGAGTCCCATGCTAGGATAAAACGGTCACCCAGTGTTTCCAGGTTTTCAGTGGTGGTCTGATGTCGCTCGATTCATGATCTCATTCAAGAGACATTAATGAATTGTCAAAGTTTACACTTTGTCTTTATCTGCCCTCCAATAGGTATTGGTTCACGAATGGAACCTGATCCGACAATCACAAATTACCCATATGTATATAATAATCTTTCAATGAATTATTTACACTCTGCTAGCCCTATTCATTTAACAGAAGAAACTAATCGTCGGTCTGGAAATATCTGTCATCCGATTGACAACGTTCCTGATAATATTAATAATAATAATCAGTCACACTGTTACTTTTTACCATCAGATCAACAACAATTAACTCCTCATCAATCTAAACGAGAAAAATCTTTAAAAAGTAATATGACACCACAACCATATTGGTGTCTAGATCTTGGTGTTCCAGTGTATGAAGCTATACAACCCATCAATAATATGAATGATGTATCGGAACCTCCAGCTTCTCCAGCGGATTTACCAATTTCTATTCCTACTACTTACAGACTATCTAAATTTGCAATAAATCCCAATGTAACAAATCGAACTGGTAGTCTACCAGGTCCTATAGCATTCATTCCATCCGATTTAAATGTAACTCGACAAATGCAGAACAGTGTCAATATAAATAATAATAATAACAATAGTAATGATACATTAAATCAAAAAACTTGGCATTATGGTTTACGACCTATTAATAGTATACCAAAAGATTTTCTTAATTTCACTTGTTCAAAACAACAACAACAACAACCACATCAAAAATCTACCAATATCATTGCTATTGATCCTGATCAATTATCTAATCATTTGAATATAGATTTTGATCAAACTCATATAAATTCAACATTGAATAGACAAGAACAACAATTTATGAAAAGAGATTATCATTCAACTAATATTAATCATTTGAATAGATTCAATCAATGGTTTTTCAATCCATTCAATTCATTTCGTAATCGAATAAAAAGTATACGATTTAAAAAAGATGCTTCAAATCATTGTCAAACTACTACTACTACTACTACTAATAATAATAATAATAGTTATTCACCAGTTGTTTCAACGACCAATTCTATTTCTTCATCTTCTAATACTATTTATTATAGAAATGTGAATAGTGCTACAGAATTAACTTCAACTATTGAAATCACATCATCATCATTACCTAAAATTCAAATAGATGATATTTCTATTCAATCTACTGGAACTTTACCAAGAACACGTAATCGATTAAAACCTTGTTCACGTATATTTTCACGAAAGAAAGTTACAGGAAGAAAATAATAATTATTCCCGTTGACATTGTTGTCGTTATCATCGTCTGTCTATGTATGCATTCATGCATGGAATGTATGTATGTATTTTTTTTTACATGTATATCAATTTCTTCATATACAGAGTTGGGTAGAAGCGATACAAGATCTCGTTTTTCACACACACACACACACAGTATATATATATATCCTATTTGTTATTAGTGTTGTTGATGTCGTCGGTTTATCGATTTCCTGTTCACATGAGTTTTCTTTGATTCTTCTCCCCTATCGCCATTACCAATCATGATGATGATGATGACTTGATTACACGTTTTTTTTATTTTATAGTACATATAGCAACTCAATAATGCTATTTATTTGATCATTTTTTTGTAAAATCTATTTTGTACAATTTATTCACCAACTGGCTCTCTATTATTCTGTTTTATTATACGGAATAAAAAAAGATGAGAATGTTTAATGTCCCAATAGCTAGCCTTATGTCTGTTTGTTTGGTGAGTTTTTTTATTCACTGCGTTTGGTCACTGGTGTGTCTAATAATTTTTGTGTGCTAGAGGTTGTTTCTCTTTATCATCATCTCGTTTATTTCATTTTCATGCTCTTCTTCATTGTATTCCTCTTTTCCTCACTCACTCACTCACTTACTCTCTCTCTCTCTCTCTCTCTTAGGTTCTTTTTGCAAAATTTCAGTTACCGTTGTCGGTATAGAATTATGTTTCTGTTTTTCCCCCTTTACATCTTCACACAAAACTTGTCTCATTTGTAAATAGTATGTAAATTTTAACTGCACACACACACATAAAGATGATAGTCGTGTATTTATGCCGAGCATTTTTTTAAAAAAAATCAAAACTTCTCAAATTATCTCTAATGCTTTTACAATTTCGCTCAATTTCTGCTTCCGTTTTATCCTTAATCATCAATTGTCTTATAGAACTGAAAACATAAGTTTCTCGGCTTAGTTTAATTCCTTTTCTCAGTTCAGCATGCAACTTTGTTAGCAATTACGATCATTATTATTTCGTAATGTTCCATAATGTGCGTGTGTTTACACGCATGACTTTATGGTCATGTGTATACCCTGTACACTTAGATTGTTCCAGTGATTGCACACAAATAAACTCACATTCATACGCACATCACCTATCCAAAATGCCTATATGTATTTTTTTTATTGTTTAATGTCCTGTGTTACTTACGAGTAGTATGATTTGAGTGAAAACAATTCCTGAGTACTTTGTTTTCAGTTTGAAAATTCATGCTTATATGAGTAATGCATTACTAGGCTTATTATATATATATAGTCAGTGTAGTTGCAAAATTCTTCTGCAATTATTCGTTTTTTGCGTTGTTAAGTTTTTAAGGTTGGCTATTGAATGGTATATCATTTTGAACAACACCATCAAACGCCTAGTTGATATGGAAATGAGTTGTTTAGTTATTCCACATACATTAACGTAGTTTCTCCTAATCACATTCTTTATAAATGGTTGTGCTTTTAGGTACCGCTATCCTCATTTTTCCGTGTATTCTTATTGATTATCGTGTTCAGCTGACTTCTAACCATGTGACTGATTGACCTCTTTCGTCAAAGTTATTAAAATGAATCGGTCTACCTATTCATTACCGATAAATGAGAATCCTACGCTTTTACAAATTCCTTAGCATTTTCAACATTCTCTCGATCTAGAGTTTTGATATATTTCTGTTTGATTTTAAACAACATAGGGGTAGTTTATAATGCCTTAATCTTTTTTTTCACTGCGGGATCAATTGAATTTATTCATGCGTGATCAAGTCTTCAGAATCCTATTTATTTATTTATTTGAACATTGGTACAAGAGGGCGCCAAATATATATATGCCATACAATAACAATGAAGCCAGTAGTAGTTATCATTGGTTTGTGTGAGCGCTATGATTCCACCCGGGTACCCAAACCGAACAGATGATTTTCTTAAGGGGCCACTCCCTGTGCCTTCGACCTACACGAGTCAGTGGAACAACGTTAGGAGATGCAGTCCCATGTAGCTGGTGACCAACAATAGGTTCATATGCCACTTGTCCCCTCATGATCCTGGAGCCCATGTGCACCATTGGTTTGGAATCAGGGTTTTCCAACTCCCCTAGATGGACCCTCCGTGTCCGCCAACCTAGTTAAAGCGTCGGAAATTCGCTTTTCGTCCTCTCAATTTCAGAACCCTAAACTGAATAGATTTCAGGAAATATATTCATTAGTCAAATGAAATCAGTTCGCGTAAATCATGTATTTGACGAATTAAAGTTCGTAATTCATATATACAAGAATAATGTAACTATAAATAACTTGTCACTATAAAAATAAACACTTTTTGCAACAAAAATCTGGTAAAAATATGCATCTCGAATCAAGTTTTCACATATAGTCGGTTTCACAATATTTATATCAGTCATTGTATTCATTCTTCACAATAAATAGTTATATTCAATTGATCTTTCTTTATCAGTTCATATTTGACAACTATACTTAAAAGTATACTTTACCGTTAACTGTATCCAGTTACCGACGAAGTGATCTTGGGAAAATAAAAACCTATTTTTAGCCTATCGAAATGTAGGAGATATGGATGAATCATTTACTGTCAGAAAGGGGATTTGTGGAGATTGTAGCAATTTTTCTTAATAGTTAAATTCACGAGTCAATCTAAGCTGGACCACCATTGAAAACCTGAAAGCACTGGATGAGCGCAGGCCCTGGGTTCGAGTCCCGAGTGGGGAATCATGGATGCTCATTGGTCAGAAGTTCCATATTAGGACGAAACGGCCATCCAGTACTTCCAGGTTTTCGATGTTGATCTATCTTAGATCGATTGGTGAATTCAACTATTGAGTAATTTACTGAATAAAATTCCCAAATAAAGATCAAGAATAGGATGCTTGATTTACGATTTGTGGTTAAGAGTTTGATCCACAATTAGTATTTTAGGTCAGTGTATGAAATTTAGATACGAAACATGACTTACAGTTGAGAATATGATTTAAAGTAAGAAGTAATCATTAGAAATAGAATGAACACTGTCTTATAAGCCATATAAATGAATATTTATACAATTGGTTTCTTCTATTTTAAAAATTAGGAAACTTCAATCTACTGTTTAAAAAAATTCCATATTATCATTTACTAACCCTCATATACTTAAAGGAATGTGGCTTGAAGTTAAATAAACGAAGCTGTTGCTTGATGAATTCGCTAAAGCCCCGATATGGCCGAGGGAGGGAGGAGTTAGTTCTCCCTCTCGAAAAACTCTGAAATGGCCTCGCGTATACAGCCACTATCAGAGTAGTCCTACTCACTGCCTTCTCGTGGTGGGATTGTTGTTTATGAAATCAAGAGGATGAAAAGCGCATGTTCGATGCTTTAATCGGGTTGGTGGATATGGAAGACTCACCTAGGGGGAGTCGCGAAACTCTGATTCCAAACCAATGGTGAATATGGGCTCCAGGATTCTGAGGGGACAAATGGCTTATGAACCTACATAATCATTGTTGATGATAATCACGTAGACCTTAACCAAGTAGTCTATACCCATCTAGATAGCTTAGTTCAACTGTCACCATCTTTGTGCATGATATCATTTCTTGATTTGGCTACTTCTTACCTAATCATGGATTTCTGTTCATATGGTTCTCGAAATCTTCCTTCTTATATTCTGTTTCTCTGAATTTTCAACAAACTTTAGTAAGATTGTATAATGACTGTCAGTTGGATGCAGAACGCACGTTTCATCTTACTTGTGATTTTTGAATTGAATGTACCTACATCCCAATGTTATTGTTTCCACTAAAACTCAAACCTAGTATCTGTTGTGTATCAACAAATTCGGCTGCTCTTATGGAAAACGCTGTAGCGGACATATAACTAAACAGGTTAGTGAATACTTTTCTTCGTGATCGGTGACAAGCATAACAAAAATAATATTCAGCCCCGTTCTATCAAATTCGGTCAATAGTGATTATGTAACAGATAGAGCTAAACCATTCAAAGTAATGTATGTTTCTATTTATTTTGTTCTTATATATATCAGAATCTATTGGGATCCTAACTAACTACCCAAGCTCTTTATTCATAAGGAATTTATGACACTTTTATCCCTTCATTGGTCGAGTTAGGCTTAACAAACTGGTTCACTTATTATTATTATTTTCTGTACCCTTTGTTTTCCCTCACTTTTTTAAAATTATTTGAACGCTACTTAAGGCATAGTTACAGTGATTTTATTAGATATCATTTTGATAAGTCTTGCGAATTGAACGCTATATTCGTTTCCTAAGCTATTCTGGAAACCCCCAAGCTCGAACTATACAGCGACCTGAACACAAGAGAGAAGACGCTAAGTATGCGAGAAAATACTTTGCTCCAAGGTTCGTTTTTGTACAGAAAACACAAGTATTTATAGATGTTAACATTTGTTAAATCAACATTATATTTTAGCCAATCCGCTAAAAGACATATTATGCTACTGGCCAATAGTAGCACGCCACGTTGACATTCTAGAAAGCTCCATCATGCTCTGACTGGCTAGGACTCTTCGGCTCCTCTAGGGTCTCTGGAGACTCTGTTGCAGTTCTCGGAAAGCCGACTCAACGCATTTCAATGTCTATTTTTCCCAAATATTCGACCTACTTTCTATTATGAAACATTGATTTAAACCTTTATTATTCTTATCACAACTATTATACCTATTATCTCACTATTAAGATTTATACTTTTTGCCTATTATACAGTCTATTGTATTGTGATCATTGACTCGTAAACTACCTTGGTTATTTTCATATACCTGTATAAACTTTACCAACCACTAAGTCGGTATCCAACGGTGTTAATGTCTAACTTCAGTCGATCCATGATCGTACTAAACCCTTTATTCATTGTCTGAGGTGGATAACTGTCTCCACCCGACACAAATTGGACTCCAATGACCACAGCCTCTCACTAAATATGTGGAAATTTTAAGTTGATTGGATGTGTTCAAAAAAAACCATAAGTCCTAATTTTGTATGCTGCGAAACGGGTAAAAACATTATAATGTCTAATCGAAATTTGAATGAAATACCCTTTGTTTTTATGTCACATATTCGGCGAATGTAATCTATTAAATAGTCGACATCCTTTCCTCGATAATTGATCTTTAATCATCAGTTATTAAGGGACCAATTAATGTACAAATACCTTTGTCCTACAGAAAACTAATCGTTAAACGAACAGCTTGGTTATAGCTTCTATGACTGCATCACAAACGAGTAGACGTGGAGGAAATAGCTAGGTTCAGTCTGATACCCGTCAGTACATCAGATCTGTCAAGACTGCAGATTCGCATGTGTGAAAAAAACTTAATAACACACATCTAAACAGATAAGTTCTTACCCATTGCGTCCGACCATCTAATGTCACACTTAACCCAGACACATATAGTCGTTCCTCAGTTAGCTCATTAACATCGTCACAAGTTCAGCATAACTGGTAGAAGGTACAGCATTTACTTTCGGGTGAATCCTAATAAACTATGACCCGTAACTTACTAGTCATAGCTACTAAATATTAAGAAAACATTCACTTGCTAAGTTCAGTTTGCCAAAACCGAATATTTTGTTCAATCATTAGTCAATATTTTCATACTCAAAACTGTTAAATTTTTAGCTCAATAAATTTGTAGGAGTTATTCAATGTATAGTTTACATCACGGAATGGCTTCATGTAGTCAGTTATTAAAAACCATGAGACCATCTTGTCCTGATGTGAAATTCCTCAGCAGCAGACATGAATGACCTCACCATCGACTAGTAATCAAAACTTCCAGTTTCTGTGGGAGAGTATGACATTTGAACCTAAAACATAAGAAAATAGTGGCTGGTAGTGGGTTCCCGGATGGGAGTTCCATCTTATTCTGGACTCATCAGCTGGATATACCTGAATCTTAGAGTTGATATTCGTCTTCTCCTGCATTTGTTGTTGCGTTTGGGATAAAAGGGCCAGATCATCTGCGAAGTCTAGATCGTCCAACTGCATCCTAGATGTCCATTGTATCCCATTGTGCTTCCCTTCAAATGTTGACGTCTTTATGATCCAGTCGATCACCAGCAGAAAGAGAAAGGGTGAGAGTAAGCAACCTTGATCAATTGCAGTCCTAAACATCAATGGGAAGATTCAAGTAAACAGTACTAAGTGAATTTAAATTGAAGCTATTTCTCAATAACAAAACGTTTGTTTGATTTTTTTGTGTTTTTTCCCGACAAAAATAATATATATGTTTACTTACCAGCTTCTTTCTAGAAGGTGAAAACTAATTTATCATTTCAAATCATTCATAGTTATTCAGACTTTTTCATCTTCCTCTCTCTCTCTCTCTCTCCCTAACTCTCTTTTGCTCTCTGTCTCTACGTCACAACTACATGAATTACTAAGAAACAAGGTGGTAGATCGTCGAATAGTAGTAGGCATAATAGTAGTAGTAGTAGTAGTTACATGCTGTGTAAAATATTATTTACCCTAACTTTATTATAATTATCAACACTATTATTACTATCAACATAATTATTACTATCGTTAATATACTTGTATAGAAGGTGTTGTTTGTGTGGATTATCCTTGACTTTGCATACACACATATATATATATACAAATAGGCAGAAATTTCGATATGCACAAGATGATTTTATATCTGCAATATGATGCCATTACTACTATTATTATTATTA